ACATCACCAAGCGCGAAGCGCTGTGAGGTATTCGGCGAGTCGCATGAAGGGTGCGCTACATCCCGCTAAGGGTGTTCGGCATGTTGTGCTTGCTTCCTTGCGTACGGATGACAGCTGCGTATGACTTAATTTATTTTCTGGTGCTTTCACCTCCTGAGACAGTTGTAAGCACTGTGTGACTGCCTCGAGGGTGCTTGACCATTTTAACACAAAGTGGTGCGCTAATCCCCTTTGCGCGGAGTGAGGGTTCTCGACCCCGCACAACATGATCTACTCGACCACCATTATGGTTACCGCCAAAAAAAAAGAGGTAAAAAATAAATAAAACGGTAGTCTGGTTGCCGAGTTCACGAGGGGGGCGGGGGGGTGGGGGCACTGTAGCGAATGTCAAGGTCTTCAGTTTCGCTCTGGTGCTGGTGTTGTCGATTGGCTCAGAAAAGTCCACTGCTGTTGGGACTGGTAGGACGGCGTGTTTGCTCTCTGCTGCTGTAGTGTATGATATGGTTATTCTCCCGAGTAATGTTTCTTTCCGTGTCGAGAGAAGGTTGCATCGGATGGGCGGGTCGGTGAAGGTATTATATTTGTCTTCAAACCTTGTTGTTGTGATCGTAGTTGTGGTGGTTGTCGTGTCTTCTGTAGGGGCGTCGTTGTCTATCGCGCGCGGCTTCTCACTCGCAAGGGAGCGTCTTTTGGTCCGCGGCGAGATGAGCAGGGGGGGTAGGGTACGAAAGGCGGGTCGGTGGGACGGCTTGGGCCGGTCTCTTTGCCCGCTGCCTTTTTGCTCTTGCTTCCACCTCGGCGCGCGCCCGAAAAATCCGCGCCTCCCTCCGTCCCCTCTTGTCTTCCCATCTTTGGTTTGAGGGCGATATGGCACGGCGTTCGCTTGTTTCCCGCGAGTCGGACTCATCGTCATGAACCTCCCCACCATTGCGAGGAAAAAGGAGGTGCGCGATTATATTTTGATGCTTAAAATAAGACTACTACAGTAGAAGAATGACACTACTGCCAAAAAATGTCAAAATACTAGTTCTTTCGCGTTCAACGGTCACAACAGCTAATACCTGCCGTCACCACAGGGAGGTATTATGTCAGCCTAATGTCAAGTGGGAGAGGCGGCGCAAGGGGTGTATATTTTGCCGTCTTGTGCCTGGACGGCCGGCATGCGAGAAGCAGCAGCAGCAGCGTCCGCGCGGGCGGCGGATTGCTTTTATAGAGCCGTTCGTGGCCGCCTGTGTTTGTGCTGGGTCTTGCCTGTGGAGGAGGATGCGAGGGCGGCCACGCCCCACCCACCCTCTAGGGAGGAACGCGGCCGTATTCATTATTGACTGCTGGAAAGTCACGTTTGGTTTGCGCGTTCTATGTATGGCGGGTGGCTGGGATCGTGCCCGGCAGCAGCATCGGGAAGAAGCGGTTGTGGAAACAAAATCAGCGGGTCAACAAGTCTTGCTTGGCTGTGCCGGCAGTCTTGAGGGGAGGCTCTACACGCTGCTTGTGGCTAGCTGATTGCACGGAGGTCTGTCCGCCACAATACCAAAGCCGAGGATTACTCGGGTCAACCAAGTGTCGGGAAAGAATTGGGCCGGGAAGCGCAAACGGGCGTAGCAGCAGCAGCGGTGCTGCCGTCGTTTGTGGACGATGTCTGTGCTAGCCCGCGAGCTTTGTTGTTACTATTTTCTACAGTAGTATCTACTGGTCACGGTGTTCTGCGCAATTAGGGGGCTACATACACATCTGCCCGCCCCCCCGCAAGTTGTTGCCAAGAATTGCGCAAAACCACGGTCTAAATGTGCAGCCCCACACCCATCCTAACATGAAAGCAGAGCAGCGAGGAGGGGGAAATTACCCGTATCTCTTTCGCGGTATGGTTGATATCTCGCCTGGAGCTGGTTTCGTACTATCTTCAGCACCCGTCCTTGTTCTTTGTCGACGCCGCCGGCAAGAAGAGAAGTAGGATTGAGTTGAAGCCTGGGCTACAAGCGGGCTGTGATTGATGTCGAACCCTTGCGAGCGATGGGGAGGTTGCCGCATCACAAAACGCGCTTCAGTCGGTTCTGGATAGCCGCAAGTGGCAGACCCCGAACTGCACTTGTGGAATATTGTCGCAATATCCCCGTGTAGGACCCAAGCAACCTCAAAAGGTGCCGTAGTTACAACCTGCTCAATTATCATTGACAATACCAACGCCTCCGACGCATACACCACGCAACCCCCCATCACTCCCGGAGCCGAGACGCTGACGAAAACGCCCGGTTCCGACATCGTCATAAATGCGAAAACAACAACGAAACGAGCGTACGGTCTACACGCATAACAGCAGTGACACCATCAGCATTTCTTGGTGACCGACGAGAGGCAAGAGCTTTCTTTTCCCACACAGCAAGCGCCAACCAGTGGTCAACATATAGTCTAGTCGGCCTAAAAGTTTACACTTACACGCCCATCGCATCCAAAATCATGGTGGCCGAAACACCCCGGGCGAAGCGCTAGGGCAGGAACCACCGCGACCTTGCAAACGGTGTGCTCTCCTGCTGCCGCCTCTTTCTCTTCGAAGACGGTTGCACGCTAGCAGCCAAAACAGTCGAATCAAGAACTTCACGCAAGCCCGTGGAAATCGCACATGGTACATGCGAACTACGACTCTGGTTGGCGTCTCCATGGCAGAGCCTCCTCGATGAGAACCAACCGCAGGAAGGGCAGATAGCTCCGAACAATAGTCTATATCTATGTACCACGGGGAAAGGCTGGGACACAACATCTCACTCTGCTCCACCGTTGCTAAAAGGCATCTCCACCACAAAGCTACAATCGAGTCGGCGGTCTGTCAGAGAAACCCACCCGCCCTTTCTGCGTAGCTCCTCAGCACAAGCCGGGGCGGATCGAGGGTGATGGCGTCACGCGGAGGGACGGGGCAACCCACACGCGCACACCAACAACCGATGCAGGTCCCGCTCTGCTCTATTCCGTACGTCAAAAGGTCACCAACGAAAGAGAACAACCACAGCGAACAGACACATCCACCACTACTGTTGGAGAGACAGGGAAGCACGAAAACATCGCTGGCGGCGCCTATCTCACGGCCCCGTGTTGCGCGCTAGCGCACGCCGAAAGTCTCTTTGCTGTTCCACCACCTGGGAAAGCGACAACCGCGCGGCGGGAAGGCGGGGAGGGAGCGGGGGTGGCACGCTTGGCACAAGAACTGAGATACATGTGAGGGCCCGAACCCAACCTGTGCAACCAGGCCAGGAGGTGGGGGGGGGTGGCGATACAAGCAAAGGCTGGACCGGCCGGCCCTACATGTGATGTGCATGTTCGCAGCACCAGACGGACGGGCACGCGCAACCAAGCCAAGCGGAACTTTCCAGGAATTTTCGACTCTCCGCGCAGCCAGCCGCTCTTGCCGCATGTCAACGAAAACCCAGAACAAAATCATGGTATTTTAGGTCATGTACTCGCACAAGAACACAAGCACGCTTACCAGCCAGACGAGCGTCAGGGTTTCACAACATGAGTGGATGCACACATGCCTCTGCATGTACGTTGTACTCGGGGGCTAGACCCCTACTTGTCGGTGTTCTCTGCGCCCCGCCCCCCTATCGTTATCGGGGTAATTAATTACCCCGGGGTGATGAAAGATATCGACATTGTGCTTTGGGTCTCGCTTTCCAAGAGTGGGCCTCTTGTCAGTTAGTGGTCGGCGGGTTTGCCGCGGCCGATCGATGATGTTGACGAAACAGAAGGAAATAAAGGAAGTACACAGCAGCACCCCACCAGAAGCGTGCTGTGCCGACATTTTCGGTTCGTTTTCGACGACAAGACAAGGCAGGCAAGACGAAGGAGAAGGCAGGCGCAAGGCAGGCAAGACGAAGAAGAAGGCGCGAGGCAGAAAAAAAAAAGCCAAGAAAACCAACACAAGAAGGTTTCAACACGAAACAAGGCAAACGTTGGGCATGGGTTTCGTGTCTATTTTGTTGTGCCTCGCGTCTTCTTCACCCTTCCTTGAAATTTTGTCGAAATCCAAGAGTAAATGTAGGTAACTGCTGCGCTGTTGCTGTGTGCGTGTTTTTTTTCTCTATTTGGCTCCACGCAAGCATACGATTGTATCGGAATGATGTATCGCGGCAACAGTTTCCTGTCCTTGACACCAGCAGTGCGTAGAGGCTCACAAGGTGACTGACTGACTGCTGCTAAGTCATTCCCTAGGCCCCCCTTACGAACTTCGCACCCCATTGGTGCGTGTTTACTCCTGTTGCCCCTTTTGCTCCGCCTTGGGCGGCAACTTAATTGTGGGCCGTCCACACGGCGGTGGCATCGAGTTTTTTCCGCCCAGGATGTAGTGGTCTAGGCCAATCTCCCAAGCGTGCAAGAAATTGGCACTCTTGTCTTTGTCGAGGATGAGGTTGTGCGGGGCATGACTCTTCGCACAGCCTGATCCGCTCACGAAGCACGAGTGGAATTTTTTTGCAGCCTTGGAGATCGGCCTCGATCTCCACTACATCCCGGGCGGAAAATTCGATGCACCCGGCATCCACAACAAGGGGTTGTTGCCCCCCGAGTCTGAGAGGGGTCAAGGGTGTAAGAAGATGAAAAAGCCGCTTAGACTATGTGTGGCCAAGACAAGGAATTGTGAGAGAGAAGGGCGGGCACCGCCCGGGGTCACTCCTCGTCTTGACACCTCGGAAGAAGCACACATGGGCTAGACGCATGCACCGAGAATGGCACAAACACGGCGGATAGTCGGACCTCGTGGAAGGCTACCGGATTTTCCTGTTTACTCGGCCACGATGCACCAACAGATTTTGAGGTGGTGGGCACGCGGAACAAGCAAAGGTCAGAAGCCACCAGTTCTGCACCAGACGCGAGCACGACCATCCCCACAGCAGCGGGTGCACTCGGTACACAGGCACAGCCGCCATGCGGACGGGCTCACGCAGACTCATCCCTTCCTTGCTTCCTTCCTGCCGCTCTCACCTGTTGCCGGAACCGTTTTCGTCTCTCCTCCGTCTCCCGCTTCTCTTGCTGTTCAAAGCACCACGCAAATATAGGGTCAACCACGGGGCGTACACGAACAAAAAAAAACACGTTGAGAACGTGGCGCACGTAACGATGCACACAGACAGACAGCCGCCACAGCCGCCAACAACAGCTGCAGCATACAGAAACCTGTAAGGGAGGGAGAGCAGCATTGATAGTTACGAAGCCCCCTTGCCGCGAAGGCAAGAAAAAAAAAAACTTGTACACCCTCGCAGGAAAAACTTCCACCACGTCAAGCACTCACCTGCTTCTTGTAGAGATGGACCGCTCCAATCTGGAACCCTTGTCCCGCTCCATCGTCGTCGTCTCCCCCCCCCGTCCCACCCGCTGCTGGCAACGACGACGAAGACGCCGTCATCAGGACGGCGCCAGGCTCTCCTCCAGCCTGACGGGCCCCGCCGCTCCTACTACCACTATCACTGCCACTACCGCCGCTACCGATCGCCGCGCCTTGCCCTGGACCCGTCTCCCCGGAGTCGTCCACCGGATCCGCCCAGGAGACCGACTTCGCCGGTTTCGCAGAAGCAGTAGCAGCAGCATCGTCGTCATCGGCACTGCTCTCGTCGTCATCATCGTCATCATCTTCCAGGCCATAGCCCGTCATCAGGCTCTGGAACGAAAAAAAAAAAAAGT